TGTCTTAGCTGAAGATGACTCCTACCTTGCCAAAATTTATATTTGAATTCCCTAGTCTTACTATTCTCACTGTTAAATATGATGCATCAACACTATCAATTTCCTTTACAATCTCAAACACCTCAATCAAATCCCCCTAACTCTTTCTTTTTTCAAGATAAAACAATTTGAGAGATTTCAGCCTCTCCTCGTATAACAACCCCTCTATCCTAGGCACCATTCTAGTAACCCTTTCCAACAATTCAATGTCTTTCCTAAGATAAGGAGGCCAAGGCTGAACACAATATTCCAAATGTGGTCTAACTAGTGACCTGTACAATGAAATTATAACCTCTTTAGACTTGTATTCAATATTTCTGTAGATACAACTTGAATTCTTACTTGCCCTACCCCTAGCAACAGCACACTGCTTGGATGGCTTTAGAGACTGATCGACTATTACACCAAGATCCCTTTCCTTTATAACACTATTAAAGTTATACCCATTCAAATTATGATAACTCGCATGCATTATCTTGAATTTATTATAATTAATACCCATCTGCCATTTATTTGCCCAACTCACTAAATGATCTAAACCCTTTTGTAAATCAGCAGCATCCTCTTCCCAGTTAGCAACACCCAAGAACTTAATATCATCTGCAAATATAAGTAATTTACTGATTATTCCTTCATCTATGGCATTGATGTAAATCAAAAAGAGAAAAGGTCCTAAGACTGAGCCCTGATGTACCTCATTTGCGACATTAATCCAGTTTGATTGAACTCCATTTGTAACAACCCTCTGCTTTCTTCCATCCAGCCACTCTTCTATCAAATTTGCTAACTTAACTCCCCACACATATAGAGCTAATTTTTATTACAAGCCTTTTGTATGGCACCTTCTCAAATGCTTTCTGAAAATCCAGATACACCAAATCCACATCCTTACCCTCATCTACATAAACAGTAACCTTTTCAAAGAATGTTAAAAGATTTGTAAGGCAAGATTTTCCCTTAATGAAACCATGTTGACTATCCAATAAAAGTCTAAACTTTGTTAAATGACTTTGCAAAGCATCTTTTATCAGACTTTTCAAAACTTTTCCCACAACTGATATAACACTAATGGGTCTATAATCACTGGGACAATTTTTATCACCTTCCTTGAAAAGAGGATTTACATTAGCTAACTTCCAATCGTCTGGTACCTGTCCACTCTTCAAGGACTGAGAAAAAAAGTAGTAGTATGTGGCTCACATATCCAATCTTTAACCTCCTTCAAAACTCTTTGAAAATATTATCTGGCTCAGGAGCCGTATCATTCTTTAAACTTCCCAATTTTTCTTAACCAGCTCAGAATTAATGCAGTCATCTAGTTTGATCTTGTTTCCATCTATCAACTGTTCAAGATGTGGAATACTGCTTAAATCTTCGTTAGTAAAAACCAAGAAAAAGCTAAATTCAATAATGTAGCCATCTCATAATCATCAGATATTATCCTTCCTTTTTCATCCCTCAAGGGTCCTACCCCATCCTAACATTTTGTTTACCCTTAATGTATTTAAAGAAATCCTTACTCTTAATTTTTAC